TGCGAAGGTTTATTGTTAACAATGTCCTCCACAGAAGGTGGCCTACTGAAAAGAAGGATGAAACCTACTGCAGACAATGCATTTATCTTGTTTGGTGAATTTCTTGAAGAAGGTTTGTCATGGGTCACATGATTTATGTACACGTATTATATTACTATTGTGTCGTCATTCTTCCAAGAACTAAAAAAAACAAACAAAATTCCAGTGGAAGAATTCCGTGAGGCTGTTGGCGAAAAGAACGTTTCCGATCTCTATAATGCGTTAAAACTCCATCGCAGATGTCGTAAGGACTCAGACCAAGAAGTGAAAAAGGCTGCGTCGGGAATAATATGTATGCTGACGGAGTGGTTCCCACAATTTTCCGATTGGCGTGAGCTGGTGAAAGACGATGAACAGAGTGAAGTCGAAAAAGTGATAAAAGAATTTTCGAAAATAAAAAAGCCAAGTATACCACCACGTGTGGCTCTTCCCCCGCCATGTAATTATTTCCCACTTTAATTAATTGTCCGACTCGATGATGATTATTAACAATGATCTGTCTTCTAGCATTATATTTTGATCGTGACGTCACCCGTTTACTCAAAATGTTTCGCACTTCATTGACCGAAGGACTTCCCACTTCAAGTATTCCGTCATTACTGAATCATTATGGTCCAAATAAAATCCCGGAGCCGCCTAAACCATCTATTTTCAATATGATATTTAACCAATTGAAGGACTTCATGGTCCTCATTTTGTTGGCCGCCACAATTGTCTCTGCGGCCGAATCCGATTTCAAGGGAATGGGTGTGTTGCTTGTCGTCATCGTGCTTAATACCATTATTGGGTTTACTCAGGAATACAAGGCCACTAAGGCCTTAGAAGCTTTACAAAAACTATCGGTTCCTAAGGTATATAGTAAGACTTTCATTGGAATAGTCACGTGTTATATTTTTTGAGACTAATGATCGTCATATAAAAAGGCACGAGTAATTCGGGATGGTCAACAGTTGGAGATTGATTCTTCTCAACTTGTTCCAGGTGATATTGTAGTATTAGAAGAGGGTGAGGCCGTTCCCGCAGATGTAAGAATCGTAGAATGTTCGCATCTGGAAGTGATCGAGTCAGCACTTACTGGTGAAAGTCTTTCGGTATCAAAGAGCGTGAAGAAGATTTGGACAAATGTGGGTCTTTTTACATTAAACTTATTTTGTTGATGAACGCTAATTGATTGAATTTTTGTTAATTTAATTTAATAGACAAGAAGCCTTCCACTAGGTGATTGTAAGGGCAATGCATTTATGTCAACTGTGGTTTTCAAGGGTCGAGGCAAAGGTCTTGTTGTCAGAACTGGCAGTGATACGGAAGTAAATAACATGATTTCTTTTTTTTATCAATGCGCACATAGATGGTCTTTGTCCGTTCACCGTCCTATTTTTATATAATAGATTGGTAAGATTAGTGCTGCCATCTCCTCGTCCAAAAAGGTTACAACACCGATTCAACGTAAATTGACAAAACTTGGAAAATTTCTCGTTGTTCTCGCAATATTTTTGTGCATTCTCGTCATAATTATCGGAATCGCATATAAACATAGCGTGAAAGATATGATTTCTATTGGCATAAGGTATGTAACATAAACTTCTCGTGTTAACCGTCCATCTCCTCATAAGTTCTAAACTGTGGTTGTAGTTTGGCAGTATCGGTCATTCCGGAAGGTTTGGTAGCGGTGACCACAGTAACAATGGCTATAGGTGTTCGTCGTATGGCAAAACGTAGTGCCATCGTGAGAACCCTACCTACCGTAGAAACGTTAGGGAGTGTCACTGTAATATGTTCCGATAAGACTGGCACACTGACCGAAGGAAAGATGGGACCATGTGAACTTTGGACAGCTGACGACACACATTATTCATTTACTGAGCCAACATCCTTGAATCCGAGCGAGGGTAAAATAGTTACCTATCCTCGAGAGTATTATTGTAAAAGGCTTTTCAAAACACGTTCCGAGAAATCGCAGTCAAAAAACGAGAAGGTTGATTACACAACGTTCGAATCACATGAAATTCCGAAAAAACTAGAAGACGCGCCAGCGCATCTGATAGCGGCAATGATGATTGCATCTTTGTGTAATAACTCTTCTGTCATAAGAAAAGATGGAACCGAAGATGAGTGGAAAGGAATAGGCGATCCAACAGAGGTCGTATCTTTTATACATTTGATATTTTTCGTTTATCCATGAAAAAGTTCCGTTTGATCTAACTTCGAATATTACAGGTTGCTTTGGTGCTCGCGGCTCAAAAAGGAGGCTTCTCAAGAAATTATTGGGAAACAGAGTATGGGTTCTCGAAATTTAATGAGAAACCCTTTGATAGCGAACGTAAACTTATGAGCGTAGTGTACACAAACACATTAGAACAATTTAAGCAAATGAAATTTGTTTTGGTTAAGGGCGCACCTGAAGAACTACTTAGCAAATGCACACGTTGCCTACCTAACGTGTTGACATCAAAAGTGGACGCACCGTTCGACATAATTCTTGGAGAGAAGGAGAATTGTAAACCATGTGAATTGACGGAGAAATTTGTTGAAGACGTATCAGAACAAAGCTCGAGAATGGCATCACAAGGTTTAAGGGTCCTTGGGTTGGCATTCAAATTAGCTTATGAAGATGAGTTTCCTCTCTTCTCTTCTGATGTGGATGAAGACATTAAAGAAGCGAAAGATGTCACCTCTCCTGAATCGCCATCAATGAACCCACTGTTTGCAGAAAAGGATTTAACATTTGTTGGATTGATTGGGCTGATAGATCCACCAAAAAAATCTGTTGCGGAATCTGTTCGAAAATGTAAGGAAGCAGGAATCCGTGTTATTATGATTACTGGCGATCATGCTGCTACAGCTACCGCAATAGCGACAGATATCGGTATAATGGAGCCCGAAGCACCACATATGGTTAGCTTATTTATTTATTTATTATCATTTTTTTTAAAAAATAATACGCTTTTTTAATGCAATTGATGACTTCCTAGAACCGTGTAATTCGTGGTGCAGAAGTTGATCTTCTATCAGATGAGGCTATCGCACAATTAAATCCATTTCCTAATATTTTTGCGCGTGTCAGGTGAATTAAATTCTACCCATTTATTATATTGCAAAAAGCATTATTTGCTTAGCATACGAGTTTTTTCTTTTTCAGTCCGGATAACAAATTAAGAATTGTCAAGGCTTTACAGAATCTCGGTAACTCGGTGGCTATGACCGGAGATGGTGTCAACGGTAAATAGCTTATTTTGTAATGTTCTTTTCGTATTTACGTTTGTTGAATAATCTTGTTGTTTGTTCCAGATGCACCGGCGATTAAGGCCGCAGATGTCGGTGTCGCGATGGGGATTAGTGGTACCGAGATCACAAAACAAGCTGCGGACATTGTCCTCGCCAATGATGATTTCTCAACCATAGTTGCAGCGGTTGAGGAAGGGAGACAAGTGTTTGATAATATTCTCAAATTTATTGTGTATCTCTTAAGTTGTAACGGAGCCGAGATCGTTTTGATGTTGCTTTGCGCAATCATCAATGTAGAATTACCTTTTACAACCATAATGATTTTGTTTGCCAATATAATCGGTGAGCATCTAAACTACATCATAATACTTTTTATTGTTGATAATACTTATTCAACTTGATATGTGTCCAATTTACAGCTGATGTTCCACCCGCAATATCTCTTGGCATCGAACCAGCCGAAGGCGATCTCATGAAAAGAAAACCACGTGATCCGGGTTCTGGCGTGCTCAACGCGTACACAACGTCAATATTGATAATGCAAACATTTGTGATGGCCATGGCAACATTTGGTTTATATGAGATCGCACTGAATATTGAGAAAATTCCATTAGAAGATTCTAGATCATTGGCATTTGCCACATTAACCACCATGCAGTTGTTTCAAGGGTTCCTGTCTAGAACACTAAATGAGAGTGTGTTTAGGACCGGATTTTTCGGAAACAAGGTTCATTAATATTATCTTATGATTTATTGTAACTCCTTTTATTCGTAAATTAATATGGTAATTTCAATTTTGTAGTGGATGGTTGGAAGCGTATTTGGATCTTTTATCACACTGGCGATTGGTATCTATGTGCCAGGTAAGAATTAGTGATTCAATTTTCGACAGAAATTGCAGAATTTCTAATTGATTGTATATCAATACAATTAGGTATTAGGGAATGGTTTACACTTACACCCATCCCAGCTTTTGGATGGGCAAAAATTTCAATATGTCTTGCCATCCAGTCAATGTTTAGTGAAATTGGTAAAATGTTCGGACGAAGGATTAGAGATAAGGAGATTGACAATGAGTTACAATTTTGAATGGTCACAACCACATAATAATAAGAATTGGATAGAAAGCTACAAGAATCCTACTAATTTTCGAGGCAAAATTCGTAATGTTTAATATGTATTTTGTTATCTATTAATTGTTATTCTTTAATTAGCATACTTTTTTAAAATTAATTCTATACACTTTATAATATTAATGTAAATAAATAAACAAATAAATAAAATAATGTTATCTAAAAAATCGTTAATATTTACTGTAATTACGTTATTTTTCATGGTAGAGACCATCACATGGTTAGTTTTAAATGAAAAACACTGAATTTTGGAATTTGATATATACTTGTACGTATTTCGATATGATATAAATATATTCTTTCATTTTTTATATTGGTATAAGAACAGAAAAAAAATCAGATGATTTATAGTGTGTAAATAAATAAAAAATTATATATTTTTTTACAATTAAATAAAAATTTTATTTATTTCTATTTATTTTTTTTCATTTATATTTCATATAATTGTACTTTTTAGAAATAAAATAAATAGGTTTTTTTAAAAAAATTTTATAAAGAAATATTTATTAAATAATTATAAAAATTCTAATTGTAAAGATTTTTTCTTTACATACTGTATAAATGTCAATAAATAAGTTAAATATTTATTATTTGATTAAGATTTTGATATTCAGGTAAATGTGATATGTTTGTGAAGATATTTTTTACTTGTCCTACTGAAACCAGTGAAAAAACAAGTCAGAAGAATGGTACTTAATACAACACAAATCCAGAATGATACAGATAGATACCATAAAATATTTAATCCCATTCTTCATCTTCATCTTCATCTTGTTCACCCGCTGTCAATCGGTTCCTTGCTTTAAGCTGAAGTGTGCATTAAAACAATAAATAAGTTTACATTCAAGAAACATTTGTTATTTATTCGAAATACTTGCCGCTTCAGCAAGGCTTTGTTGTGCTTTGGATGGTGTTTCAGACTTAAAATAGACGATTTCATTAATATTATCTAAGACCATTCATTAATATATATATATGTATAATACATACATTCAATCCAGGTCTTGGGGGAGCTAAAGGTCTATCTCCAGGCGCTGATGGTTTAGGTGGAATATATGGTTTTGATGCTGGTTTGCGACCTGTTGTCAAAATTTTATTACTCATAACGTTCGGAAATTACTTTTTTTCTTTAGGAGTTAAAACAATAAATTAAAAATAGAAAATATGAGACAAACTACCACTAATTGGGATCTTTTTCGTAGATGCGACTGGATGATCTTGTTCAGTTTCTTCATTAGCACTTGAGCTTTCGGTCGCCTAGGAATAAAAATTATGTTACCGATCTTTTTTCTTGAAAGAAAGCCATTCCTAAAAGCAATCTAATACACACTCTTGCGGCCGCTTTTTTAGCTTCCAAAGCTGCCTTCCATCCACCAGATGACATTCCTGGAAAAACTGATACTGGTGCGCTTTTCTCATTCCCATACTTATTCCTGGTACTACCACCACCAACATTATTTGCCGACTCGCCATCACTGCCTTCCTCTTCGTCTTTCCTTAAACTTCTGGGTGAGGTTGCCCTTCCTTGAGGTTGTTGGACTGGCGCTGGAGGTGGAGGTGGTCTACGCTTCGCCGGAACAGGAACGGGTTTCGGTGCCGCTACCTTAACTTCTTCTAAATAGTTACTAGGTACCCACCCTTGTCCGTCATCATTCTTCGCTAGCCACCATCCGTTATCATCTTTCTCCATTACCTCTAATATATCGCCTTTTTTAAATGACAATTCACCATCATCCTCTGTCATGAAATCGTAAAGTCCTTTGTACATTGGATTTCTCGATGGGGGCGGCGGTGGTATCCGAGCACTTGTCGACGTCCTTTGGGTAATTTTTTCTGTAGATTCAGAGGACTTTCGAGGAGCTTTTTGCTCATTAGGACTTTTTGGCACTACCCTAGACGATTCGGTTTGTGCCGCCCTAGTTGGTACTGTCTTAGATGCTATCTTAGATGCTGGTTTCACCGTTTTCCCACCAGCCTTTGGTTTCGATGAAGTCTCCTTTCTCTGACATGGAGGATTCGAAACACTATTCGCGGGCTCACCAGAACACACGGACACTGTTTGACTTTTATAAACATCATTTCTCTGAACAGTTTCATCTTTGACAAACTTGATTTTTGCCGTTTTTCCAATTTTTTTCGTATATTCGATGTTCGCCGCTATGTTAACTTCAACCCTCGATCCCGTGCGTTGTAATAAATGCACTAAAAATTCGGTCTTAAAGTAACACGAGCATACCAAGTCTCCTAATTCTTTTGTTGGATTGTCAATATGAATTATCATCCAATCATCACGAAGATTCGATAGACTGATTTTCGTTATCGATGTTAGATTGATGCTTCTTTCAACATTCATTGTTAAAAGTTTCTTTTCGATTTGTGAAATGACAATGTATATGACTTTCTCTGTCTATTTTGTTTGAAAAATAATTGATATCATTAATGAAACAAATACACCGAAAGCAAAGGTATTCAATATCAATATCAGAAATTACATACCAAAACCAAACTCCTAGGACTCGGTTTGCTAGTTCGGGCAAGGCGTGGAACCAAAAGTTGAATCTTGCTGCTGAATGCCACAGTTTCATTTGCTTAGAAAGGACGATTCCGTAATTAATTTATTATTAGAGAAATGAATATTAAATTATATGTATTCTAAGATACTCACATTTGATATTGCAGGCATTTCTAATGGCTTCTCCGCTACCTCCGGCTACACCGACGTTTAGATAATCGCCCACAAATTTTCTCATGCTCAACAGGCTAAACCTTCGCCTCTCCTTGCGTTCACCCAAAATTTGATGACCATAGTCGCGTAATTGCACGTAAATAATCTGGTCTTTGTTTTTCTTCCAACACCTTTGTATGCGAGTGGCGCATTCGTTTTTGTACCTAATGTAGTTTCGATAAGCACGTTGTATACGTAATGCCATGTTATGCCAATATCTGTCCCGAAGGTGTTCGAGCGCCCAAATCTTAATGTCGTACAAAGACAATGTCAGCATTAAAATTAAAAGTGCAAACAATTACAAAAAAAGAACGCATAATAATGACGGAGAAAACTGACAGTCTCGGGATGACGAATGAAAGCTTTTGTTACTCCCATCTGCCATTCTTCAGAAGCGATGTTACAATCCTTTAAAATACGTTCGGAACCAGACTTCGGATCCCCTTGCCAGATACATTCACCCGCGTATGATGTCTTTTTCGACAGCAAATAAAACCTAAATGAATATAAATAAGTAAATAAAATAAATAAATAAATAAATAAAATACCACAAGATTTACCTTTCCAGAAATTTTTCGAATGTTTGCCTGTAAGCGAAACCTGCGCGCCTAACTCTAATGTTCTCGTTTAGACCAAGATACTTAATTTGATGTAACACCATCTTTTGATCGTACTCGATGGGACTCTTATTTTGGTTGGGCTTTATGGTACGTATATATGATGGTTGTGCCTGCATGAGATTATTCACTAGTGCGTTTGCTGATGTCTATTTATTGTATGTTAAAATTTTCAGAATTATGAATATTCTAACGCTAACAATTAACGCAGGAAACACGGATAGATTTGTATAAACCTTAATCTTGTCACTAGCTGTAGGGGGTCGTTTCTTTGAATCTCGATCGACCTGGTGTGGAAAAATCTTGCTTAAGAACTTATTTTCACTGTTTGCTATCAACTCCAGCAAATCTTTGACTAGTTGATCCTTATTCTTATCAGTCATCTGAGGTATGGAGTAGAATACGTCACCCGCATAGTGTTTTATTAAGAACTTGCTTCCCCTCGACTCAAAGTGAGGGTTTGAACTCAGAGACCCAAGTCTTTGTATGAAAGAATTGTCCGCCGCATCGGAATCTGCATGCGCTGTAGCACAAGCGTCGTTCAGCGCGGCGAAAACTCCCGGCGGACGTTTTTCCTCAATGAGATCGCACACGACCTTATTATTGAAGAAGTCGATGGGTGTCCATTTAATTTTTTCCCTAACATATTCCTCTTGTTCAGTCTTGAGGGTAAGTTCAATAAAAATCTGTTGGAGCTTCTCGTTAACATAGTTAATGCACAACTGCTCAAAGCTATTCTCTTCAAATATCTCAAAGCCATAAATATCCAGAACACCAATAACATATGAAGCAGCAGACCGAGAACGCAGAGCAGCATTTATGCGTTCCACGATCCATTCAAATAGATTGTTGTAAATGCCTTTAGCAAGAGCATCTCGCACGGCAGAAGCCTTTCGTCAGATATATTATAAATAATTAGATCGATAAGGACCAAGTGCACTATAAATTCATCATAATATATAATACCTGAACTAGATTCAATGGAACATCATATACTGAACCTCTGCGGCCACCACGCGCAGTCTCAATCATACGACTTGTCAAGACCTATGAATATAAAATTGTTAAAAAAAGGTGTCATGTATTTGATGAAATACTAAATTATGAACCATTAATCATACCTTGCTCAAAGCACCTTCGTCAACCTCCATTATATAAGCAATAAAATTCGTGACTATACGTAAAGATCATTCGTTAAACATATTAGCATTTTCAACAAGGCCTTTAAAGTTAATGAACATATGACCGGGATAAATATACCATTTTCGTCGCTAACGACAGAGTTTCCATTATCATCTTCTTCAAATACCACGTTTCCCAACCAAAGAATTATAGCTAACATCCTAAAAATATTGTTCTGCTCATCTTGTGTGAGACCAATAACTTCCATTGCTTCCTAAAAATAAAAAAAAGAATATAATAAAACAATTAGTATAATTGTAGAAATGATTAATAATAAAGAAAAAATATATATTATTCACCAAAGTATCTGAGTAATCTTTGGAGTCATCAATTCCATCCACATCTAGACATTGGCTCCTGCTAGTATATAGATAACTTTCAGGTCCCTGAATACCGAATTGTTCTTTGTAAAGCAAATACGGTCACGAAACTAATCACGCGTGACAAACATGAACAATCAATTAGAAGGAAAGTCACAAACCTCGATATTCATCAGATGCTGCCTTGGTAAATTGATAAAAGATGTGGAAATTGCGCTCGTTTTCAATTTGACCAACAACACGACCCTACGATATTATTTTTGCGATCATTGGAACTTAATAATTAAAAAAAAAATGCAAAGTAACATCAATATTTATAAATTTACTTTTTCCAATAAATAATTAGTTATCACTGCACCGACTGGTTCACCAACAGAGTTAAATTGAATCTCCAAGTATTTGCCCTATTACAAACGAAAAACAGGAGAAATGTGCACGTGGGATGAAATTATTCAATATTTACTAACGAAGTTACATTGTAAATTAAATTCATAACATAACATACATGGCGACTTGAATTATTGTTTCTAAGTGTCTTTGCACAACCAAAGCTTTCTAGTAGAGGGTTGGTAGCCAAAACCATATCCTTGATCTCTTGAATCGAAGAAGATTTTCCACCACTCACGGTTGCAATATATTGCATAATCTGAATATAGATTTCCTTAATTTAATATGAAAATGGTCGTAATTATCGTTACAATGAATATAAATTATACAAACCCTTTTTGCTGCTTCTATTTAACATAAAATGCGAAACTAAGATTAGCGTTGATTAGTTGGATCCAATTGCACATTAAACTAAAAACTAACGCGGCAAGTTACATACCAGTTTTTCCAGCTCCAGATTCACCACTGAAAAAAATAAAAATTTTGGGAGAGCGTTAAAAATGTCCTCGAGAAACCTTATTACTACAGATCGGAAATTTTCGTCTCCTTGCCTAATGATTATACACTGGTTCTCTTGGTAACTATTCATATTATAGTAAGCTGACTCTGCAACCGCATATACATGTGGTGGCATCTAAAATTTCAGGATAATGTTTTAGATGTATTATTTTGGACGTAATAACAAACAATATGTAAATTTAAATTTCACCTCAAGACGGTTCTTTCCGGTATAACTTTTTAAAATCTCATCTGTGTAAATACCTAGATCTTTGAAAGGATTTACGCTGATCAATACATGCCCGATATAGGTCTGGATTTAAAAAGCATTGGATCAATAGTTTTAATTAATGCACAATCTATAAATTCCCACTCAATAATTCAATTGTTCGTCTCCCAAGCTATAAAGAAAAAAAACCATCACGTACATAAATTTCATGATTCTCAAATCTCTTCTTCAAATTTTCATTGATCGCCTCGTTATTAACTTTACTCAACATAGTCATGTCTGACACTCCAACTTGTTTCTTTTTGAAACCTTCTTTCCAATCAGCCTTTTCAATTTTCTTGGCGGCGGCTTTGCCTGCCAAACTTTTTCGCTTGGTTGCTGCTTTTTTTGGCGGCTTTTAATTCAAAAGATGAATAAGAACTTTGTTGCGTCGCATAGCAGAGAAAGTTTTCAGGCAGCAAAATCGAGAACGAACTTGTTACCATAATTAGCTAAATTTTTCGTCTGCACAAAAATTTAAAATGATCCTATGCCGAGAGTTCAAAATTAAAGGATTTCGGGAGTCTATACATTTAAATGATCAGCATAGATTTTTGGAATATTCCTTTTACAGTAAAAAAAAATATTATCTTAAATAAAATTAAAAAAATTAAAAATTAAATTTATATTATTTTAATTACAAAAAAAAATAAACGTCAATTTTAATATATAATTAATAAATTAATTTTTTTCTATATAAATATTAAGTTACGTATTTATTTTTTGATAAATTTAACATTCAATTTTTTAATAATAAAATTTTTTTATAAAAAAATATTACGTAGTTAAAATTAAACATGAAAATAATAATTTAAAAATTTTATTTTTTATTATAAAAAAATTAAAAAAATTATTATTTAATTATTGAAAAACTTTAAATAAATACTTGATTGTAATTTTTTAAAAAATATATTTATTATTAAATAATGTTATTAAATTATAATAAAAAGTATATATCCCAATATTGAATTTAAATTATTTTGAAAAAAAATTATAAAAAAATTATTTTAAAACTTTCTGAATTAATTAATTTGTATATTGAAATAATTTTTTTTTTTTAAGTAAATAAACATTATAACTTTGTTAATTGTAAAATTGTTTAAAATTTATATATGGAAAAGGTGACAACATCTCTTATATAATTTGCTAAGCTAATAAGTCTAATGCTAGCTTGCTTAAGTAAATCATTTAAGTGATAAGGAAACTAAATATTAAAACATTATATATCTAAAATAGTACTAAATAACCATGAATATTTATTTAGATTTATATGTAAAAAGATTATAAGAAATGAAATTTTAAAGAAAAAAAAAAAATACTAAACAAAAAGATAAATACAAAAAAGCTAATTATAAAATTATAAATTCTTCAAATAAAATTACTAGATGTGCCATATTAGTAGTTTTATTTAACTAAAGTATAATAGTTGTACTTTCAAAAATAGTCAGACTATTAACCAAAGTGTACAATAGTTAAAGATGGATCCCTAAATTAAAGGCAAGGACATAATTCAAATGTCCCTCACTATTAAAAAAGTTTTTTTTTAAATATAAGATCAAAAAAAAACTACCTACAA